AAGGGGCCCTGGCCATTTGTTGCCAGGGAGACAGAGTATCAGTGATTTATGCGCACTGGCCTTTATCCCATCACCTAGAGACTTAAGAAATGCATAGGGGAAACTGAGGCACCCACACAGTATTCAGAGGAAACATTAAGAACAGTCCCACTTCGTCACAGGGACCCCCCCAGACCCAGGAGGAATTAGCGTCACCGAGCTCAGAGCGGCACGTCGGTCTGTACGGACAATCCGATCACAACGTGGCGGGGCCAGGATTGGGGTTCACCCGAGGCCCTTTCCCGGCCAGGCTCACAGATCCCCAATGCTCACGCCTGGCCCGTTCGCCCGGACACCTGGAGACCCGGCTTCTCCCCCACGTGGACCCAGCTGCGGCCAGGCAGGAAATGCCCCCAGGTTTGCTTGTATCTGGGACACAGGCCCGGCTCTCTCTCGGACGCCGTCCGTGTGCCACGGGGAGGGAGACTGAGCGAGGCCTTTCCCCCCATGCCCCTTCTCCCACGACTCTGCTCCGGGCCAGGGCAGCCCCTGCTAGACCTGTCGATAGATGCGCCCGTCAGCAACCAGCCCCACGGCCGCGGGCTCGGCCCGGACCGTGGGACCCGTCACCGGGCGGCGAGGCGGCTCCGTGGCTGGGCGCGGCTCCGAGGGCCGTCCTGGGGAGCAGGAACCCGCCAGTCAGAGCGGCACGTCTGGCCAAGACGACGAGGGTTCCTGGTGGCCGTTCCCTCGGCCGGGGAGTCTCGGAGATCCGGGTCTCGTGCTGTTCGTCAGGCCAAGGTGTGACTCTGCCTACATCCCTACGGCGGGCGCAGGACCCGGGAGGTTTTCTTCCGGGCTCTGTCCGAAGCCGGAAGAACAGAGACTACGGATGTCAGCCGGGCTCCGGCTTTGTACAGTGAAAGTGCTCAAGTCTCCGTCGCTGCCACGGACAGGATGGAAGGGAACCGAGTCAGCCCAGAGAATCTCCTCTTGGATCACGTCCTGCATCCACGTGGGCTGTCACGGACTCGCAGGTCGGGCCCACTCCTGGCCCCGTGCAGTCCGTGGGGGGTGCCCCCTTCAGTGTGACAGCCCTTCTTGGGGGGCCACTCTCTCTCGGGGTCAGGCCCCTCCACCTCCTGGAGCCGCACCTCTCGGAGCCTTAGCACGTCTGTCTCTGCCGTGGGCCCCCTCAGGGAGTCCACTTGCTCGGGCCCCCCACCCGTCCCGTTCTCTAGCCCGGAGCGACTCTCAGCCAGCATGAAACAGGAGGGTTTATTGAGAGTTGAACCCAGCACAGGAAACTCTCTGGCCTCAGGCCTGGCCTCCCTCAGCCCAGCACATCCCAGTCTCCCTGCATCCAGGGGGGCTCTGCCTGCTCCCCCTCTCCAGCCCCGAGCCCCCCTGCTCCCCAGCTTGATGCCGAAAGGCAGGACCAGGAACTCGAAGAGCCCTATTGGGGTGGTGAAGGCGGACTTCGCCCTGGCCTCCGGGTCCAAAGGCACCTGCCAGTAGCCTTTGGTAAGATCTATGGTAGTGAGGTACCAGGCACCCCCCAACTTGTCTAAGATTTCATCAGTCCTGGGCATGGGGTAGGCATCGGACACGGTAAAGGCATTGAGCTTCCAATAGTCCACACAGAACCGGATCGACCCGTCCTTTTTGGGGACCAGCCCCACGGGCGAGGCCCAGGGACTGGCGGACGGCTGGATCACCCCTAAAGCCAGCATGTCCCCGACCTCTCTCACCAGGGTCTGGGCTGTTTTCCCAGTGACCCTGAATGGGGACACCTGATGGGAGGGTTGGTTCCCGTCTCCACCCGGGGGACAGCCGGGTTAGTGAGCCCCGGCCGGCTGGAGAACAGCTGCCGGTACGAATGCAGCACGGCTCTGATCTCTGCCTGCTGGGCAGGGGTTAGCTGGTCTGAGAGGGGAACTGACTCCAGCGAGGGGTTAGCCCCAGCCTCAGGGAGGAGTCCCACCAGGGGGTCCTCTCCTTTCTCCTCCCACTGCCCACACACAGCCAGCACCAACTTCTCCCTGTCCCGGTACGGCTTCATCCTGTTGACGTGATACACGCGGTGGCTGTGAGCCCGGCTGGACAGTTCCATCACATAGTTCACCTCGTTTTCCTGTCTGATGACCGTGAAGGGGCCGTCCCAGCCGCTTGTCACTTGTTCTTCCTCACGGGGATGAGGAGCATCACCTGGTCCCCGGTAGCGTATGAGCGGGCACATGCTGAGCGGTCGTACCAGACCTTCTGCTTCCTCTGGGCCCTTGCTAGGTTCCCCCTAGCCAAGCCCATGAGCTCCACGAGCTTTTCCCGGCAAGTCAGTACATACTTTACTACTGATTCCCCATCGGGAGAGGCCTTTCCCTCCCACTCGGCTCTCATCAAGTCCAGGGGACCCCTCATCCTCCTGCCGTACAGCAACTCGAACGGGGAGAACCCTGTGGATTCCTGGGGCACTTCCCTGTATGCGAACAGCAGGTGGGGTAAATACTTGTCCCAGTCCTGCGGGTGCTGGTCCATAAAGCTTTTCAGCATCCTCTTTAGGGTCCCATTGAACCTCTCCACTAGCCCGTTGGACTGAGGGTGGTAGGCTGAGGCCCAGGTGTATCGGACCCCACACTTCTCCCACAAGCACTGGAGCAGGGTCGACATGAAGTTAGACCCCTGGTCTGTAAGGACCTCTTTGGGGAACCCCACTCTGCTGAAGATGGTCAGCAGCGCGTCTGCCACGGTGTCTGCCTCGATAGAGGACAAGGCCACCGCCTCGGGGTAGCGCATAGCAAAATCTACCACCACCAGGATGTATTTCTTCCCTGACCGGGTCACCCTGCTGAGGGGCCCCACTATGTCCACGGCCACCTTCTGGAAAGGATCCTCTAGGATGGGCAAAGGTCTCAGCGGGGCTTTACACTTATCCCGGGCCTTCCCCACCCTCTGGCAGGAGTCACAGGTCCTGCAATACTGTCGGACAGCATCAAAGACCCCGGGCCAGTAAAAGTTCTGCAGCAGCCTCTGCCTGGTGCGCCGGATGCCCTGATGCCCCGAAAGGGGGATATCGTGGGCCAGGAACAGCAGTTTGCGGTGGTACCTCTGGGGAACCACCAGCTGCCTCCCGACTTTCCAAGATTCAGTTCGCCCTGAACCAGCCCATTCCCGGTACAGGAATCCCCTCTCCCACAGGAATCGCTCCCGGCGGTCCTCCCCCTGGGATCCTGCACTGTCGTGGCCAGCCAGGGCCCTCAGTTTCTCCAGGGAGGGATCCACCTGCAGCTCCGTTTGGAATTCAGCTGCTGGGTCTGAGGATACAGCCCTGGCTGGTGGTGCCTCAGTTTCCCCACCCTGGGACGGAGGCTCCGGCCCAGCCCTGTCGAGCTCTCCCCTCGGCGCTTCAGCCCCCCCCCCTCGGGAGGTCCCGCGCCCCTCGGTGGCTCTGGCTCCGGGTAAGGACCACGGCGCTCTGAGCGCCATCCGTCCAGTTCTCCAAGTCATTCCCCATTAGCACCTCAGTAGGCAGGTGGTCGTGCACCCCAACCTCTTTGGGTCCCTCCTTAGCCCCCCATTTCAGGTGTATCCTCGCTACAGGCACCTTGACGGGGGCCCAAACACTCCCCTCAGAGTCAGGTAGGCATCGGGCACCCGTGTCCCAGAACCCCTGGACGCGTCTTTCCCCCGCCTCAATGGGGATGATGTGGCGATTGTCCCCCCAGGCCTGTCCTACGCTCACCCGGCGGATTGGGTACGGGCGCTCCGGACCTGAGGCCCTGTCTCCCCTGCTGGCCTGGCCTGGCGGTCCCCTCCCCCTGGCACAGCCCTCTCGACTGCGGCCCCCTGGACCGGCTGTCCCGGAGTCCCCGGGCGATGCTCTGGAACTGCTCCCCACAAAGCCAGGCAGGACTTTGGGGAGCCTCCTCTCCCTCGGAGCAGACCGTCTTCAGGGCAAGGAGCTCACACGGCTTCACCTCCTGGGTCTGACCTTGGCGCATTCAGCATATGTCCCTACGTGCGCTGCCCACAGCGAGTCCACCCAGGCGGGGTCCTGGGGCAGCCAGAGGGTCCTGCACCCCCCACTTCGCAGTCAGACGTGACTCTCGGCCAGCCAGTAACACAGAGGTTTATTAGACGACAGGAACACGGTCTAAAACAGAGCTTGTAGGTCCAGCGAATGGGACCCCTCAGCCGGGTCCATTCTGGGGCCCAGCGAGCCAGACACCCCCGTCTGCCCTCACTCCCCGTCCCCAGCCAGCTCCAAACTGACTCACCCTCCAGCCCCTCCTCCTCTGCTGAGTTCCTTTCCCAGGCCAGGAGGTCACCTGACCTCTTTGTTCTCCCGCACCTTTAGCATCCCCGTGCAGGGGGGAAGGGACTGGCCATTAGTTGCCAGGAGACAGAAACTGAGGCACTCACACAGTATTCAGAGGAAACATTAAGAACATTCCCACTTCGTCACACCGACAGTGCCCCCTCTCCGTGGGCTTCCCCCCAGCTGACTCCCCGCGGGTTCTGCTTGGCCGCCATTTCCTTCTTCTTCAGGCACTGGGCCACCTTGTGCCCCTTTTGGCCACAGTAATTACATTTCAGGTCCCTCAAGTCCCACCTTGGAGAGGTCTCTGGGTGACTCCCCTTTTGAATCCCTGATGTGGGTCTCCCCCCTGCCCCCGACCTGCTGTCCACAAACTCATCTGCCAGCGCCCCTGCACGGCGCAGATCTTTAGGCTTCCGGTCCACTAGCCACATCTAGTCATACAGCTGCTCCAACCCCACCAGGTTATACACGTCCTCTGCAGTAGTGGCCCCTGCGCCCTTCCCCCACTTGCGGAGATATTCCCCCAGCAGGTTGGTGACCTCCTTGTAAGTGACACCTGAGGCCTTGCGCACACCCCGGAATCGTTTCCTGTTCGCCTTGGGGGTCAGTTCAAACTTCAGCAGCAAAGCCTGTTTGAACAGGTCGTAGTCCCCCGTCTCAACACCATCCATTTGGCTGAACGCCTGTATGGCTTTGGGACCCAGCCGGGGGGTCAGACAGCAAAGCCTGTCTGCGGGGTCAATCTGGTTCAGATCACAACTTCTCACAGGCTGTGAGGTCGGCATCTATATCCCCCCCCTCCTTGAACTGGGGCAGCAGTTTGGTGTCTAGATTCCCCACACCACTGGCGTCTCGGGGCCCTTCCCCACTTACCCCCCCGGCAGGCCCTCTTGGCCCGCCTCTCGTCCATCTCCAACTCCTGCTTCCGCTGTTCTACACGGTCCGCTCGTTCTCTCTCTCTCCACCAGCCTCCGACCCTCCAGCTCCAGCTCCTTCGCTTCCAGCTGCAGCTCCAATCTCCGCAGCTCCTCTAGGGAGGAACCGGACTGGGGTCTCCCTGTACTGACTGGGGAGTCAGGTCTGACCCACTCCCGGTCACTACACAGACTGCCCCCCCGGCTACTCCCCGGCTCTCCGGGCACCCCGGGAGCCCCCCTGGGGTCTGGAGCCTGCGCCTCAGATGGGTCATTCTCTACCAGCTGAGCCATCAGCCGCTCCTTAGTGACCCTCCCCACGCTCAGCCCCCTCCCCGTGCAGAGACGGGCCAGGTCGCTCAGATGGAGCTGGTTCTAGGCCATGTCCAGGCTGGGTCCGTTCAATACCCTCGTTCTATCGCTGGCAGCCACTCACTGCACAGCGCCTGCGCCCGCAGCCAACGTCTACAGGGTGCATCCGCGAAACATCCCACTGCTGACACCACGTTGTCACGGACTCACAGATCGGTGCGGTCCGTGGGGGGTGCCCCTTTCAGTGCAACAGCCCTTCTCGGGGGTCCACTCTCTCTCGGGGTCAGGCCCCTCCACCTCCTGGAGCCGCACCTCTCTGAGCCTTAGCACGTCTGTCTCTGCCGTGGGCCCCCTCAGGGAGTCCCCTCGCTCTGGACCCCCGGGGCCTCCACCCCTGAAGGGGTTGATGCCCCCCCACCCCCCGGTCCTGTTCTCTAGACCGAAGTGACTCTCAGCCAGCATAAAACAGGAGGATTTATTGACAGTTGAACACAGCCCAGGAAACTCTCAGGTCCTCAGGCCTGACCTCCCTCAGCCCAGCACATCCCAGTCTCTCTGCATCCAGGGGGGCTCTGCCTGCTCCCCCTCTCCAGCCCAGAGCCCCCCTGCTCCCAGCTGGGCATCTGAGATCCCCGGCCCCAGGCCCCGCCTCTGTCCATTGTCTTCTCTCCAGGGAAACAGGGTCATAAACCGGGGCCTCCTCTCCTCGCTTCTGTCCTCTGGCTGGAACCGGCTGGTCCGGTCACTGGGTCCTCACTCTGCAGCCCATTGTCCTCCCACTGGCCAGAACCGGCTGCGTCTCCTCAGCTGGGCCTCCGGGTCACCAGGTCACCGGTCGCTGGGGTATCCATCCTCCCGGCCATCGGCTGGGTCCCCACGTCCTCTCTCCGGTCCTCTGCAAAACACAATCCCTCTCCCCTCCCCTCGTTAAACCAGTAACCCCCAGGGAAACTGAGTCCCACCCCCTGCATGCAACCCACTGGAAAAACCTAGAACTGCCCACTTGTCCCAGGCTGTGACCTGGCGAAGGTCTCGCCCCCGCTCTCGACGGCGCACGCCAGGATTGCCAGGGCTCGGCAGCCAGGTCCCGGCTGGACATGGGCCGGGCGTCACCTGGTCGCCCATGCAGACCTGGGGGGCTGAGCCCGCCGCAGAGCCGCCGCACGAGGGACGGGGCGTCACCTCGCGGGGAGGGAGACGCGCGGCACTAGCAGGAGAACAGACGTTCCCGACCTCCCCGCTCGTGTCCGTTCCACATCCCGCCCCCGGCGGAGCTGCCGGCGAGAAGGGGCCGAGGGGGCAGTGGGGGCCCTTTTACCGTGCCAGGGAGGTGCCGACCTGCCCGATACCGCTGGGGGGACTCCCGGTGCCCGTGGCCCACACAGACCCGCCTGGGAAGGGACACGACCACACAGCTCGGAGACCAGCCGTGGGTCAGTGACCCGCTGCTGCCTTGGGGGCTCGCAGGGTGCAGGGGGTGGGGGGCAGCGGGTTGCAGGGGGGCAGAGTGGGCCATGTGGGGGGCAGAGGCCGTTCTCCTGGGGGGTCCTGGGGGGGGGAGGCGGATGGGGGGGCTGGGGGCAGCCCCCCGTGACCGCAGCGTCCTGACCCCCCGTTCCCCAGGCTCCCCGTTCCGGGACGAGATCACACTGGCCATCCTACAGCTGCAGGAGAACAACCGGCTCGAGATCCTGAAGCGCAAGTGGTGGGAAGGGGGCAAGTGCCCCAAGGAGCAGGATCATCGGGCCAAAGGTGAGGGGGGCC